TTTTTAACATTGACTGCGCTGCGCCTTGCGCTGCAATGTGGGATTGAGAGGCACTACTTAATGTATGACTTTTCACTGAAACTTGCATTTCAGACTCCTTATAATTTTCCTTTAATTTATAGTCGTCAAGGAAACAAACATCGGTGAAGCTGGGAATCTGTCAAGTGCCTTTACATAAAAATATTATAGTGTTTAAGAAAGTAAAACCAGTATTTTTTATACCCTTTCATATTTTATATCTTATAGTGAAATGTACAGGTTCAAGTTAATAAAGTGGTAGCCGGGTTTTAAATAAAACACCTTCTCCTTTCGCTGCTCAAATTGGAATGTCTTCTTTTATTCTCTTCTTTTCACAAGATGGTGTCTTATAACTATATCTTAAGGTCTAGTTACACTATTCGTGTACTAAAAATATGCTAAAGGGACTATTACACTATTACAATGATTTACATGATTTATTAATCTATTACTTAAGCTAGCCTATACAACGCTACTACAGCTCGGCCATCCTGATTAATAGAATCACCTGATTCTGCTCAGCATATATATACGTGAGCTTATGACGTAAAATTTTCTCTACCAAAAAAACCGTATCCTATCTTTTGGAATTCGCATTTTCGCAATTGTACCACGGTTTCAGATTTGCGACTGACCAGACACCTTTGTATGGTATTTGTGTTTGCTGGAAGCCCTCTACATCCTCCACTAGATAGCGATCGTTGTCGAGAATTTTAGATATCTTATACGGCCCTTTGAACTTAGGGATTAGTTTGCTAGACGCTCCTGTCTGCGAGCTAATATTAGAAATTACTACATAATCTCCTAACTTAAAGTTGCATGGTTTTTTACGTTTAACATCTGAGTACCCTTTATTATAAGTTTGTGCTTTACATTGTTCAACTTCTGCTTGTTTTCTAAGATCTTCTATATTTTTGTGGTTCGGAGTGTTTAATAATTCTAACACATTCTCGCTCACACTATCTATGACCTTTCCTTTCTGTCGGACCCCGAATAGCAATACACTGGGTTGCTCTTTGGTTGCCTTATGAACCGTATTATTCATAGCATGTTCTACTGACTCCAAGACATTTTCCCAGCCCACCTCTTTCTCAGCATCTAACATCTTAGCTATCATTGGACCTAAACTTTTATTCACAATTTCGGCCTGACCATTTGGTTGAGGTGAGCTTGTTGCTACTTTTATGTGTTCTATGTTATTATCTTCTAAGAAATTTTCGAACTCTCTCGACGTGAAACAAGTTCCCCGATCTGATACTATAGACCTCGGTTGTCTTGGCCGGATACAAACGAACGAACTTCGTGAATGCATCGATTACTACCAACACGTGCTTGAACTTTGTTCCCTTGCTATGGATCGGTCCGTAATGATCAATGTGCACCATTTCGAATGGTTTATTTCCCTTTGGAATCATGTGTAACATTCCTTCTTTCTTACCGCTTTTATTTGAAAAGGCTATACACTTCAAGCAGTTTTCGATATGAACGGTTGCCTTTTTCCTAACATTCGGAAACCAATAACTTTTCCCTATAGTCTCTACAACCTTGTGTACTCCTAAGTGCCCCATTTCGTCGTGGTATTTATATAGAACATGTGGTTCCATGGACTCTGGCACATAGAAGAGTAAATCTTTATCTTTCTTTTTATACACTACCCCATTTCTCATTTCGAACTGGCTGCTCTCTTTAGACTCTAAGTCCTTTTTGATATCTTCTATGTGTTTATCTTTATTCTGACATATAATTAAATTTTCTTCAAACGTGTTGGTGTGAACCACCAAGACGTTATTTACTCTACTCAACGCGTCCACATGTTGCATCCTTTTACCCTCTCTATGTTCGAGTTCGTAATCATAATTTTGTAACTCTAGCGCCCACCTGGCAATCCTTGGGTTCATTTCTTTTTTATTTAGTGTCAGCGTCAGCGAATTGCAGTCAGTAATAATTTTAAATTTTATGCCTTGTAGGTATACCCTGAATCTCCTCAACGCGTATACTATCGCCAGTGTTTCTAGTTCGAAACTGTGATACCTAGACTCTACATCCGTTGTACGTTTCGAGAAATAAAAAACTGGATGTAGCTTATTATCCTTTTTCTTCTGAAGCAGTATCGCCCCGAAGCCTAGTGAACTCGCGTCGCAGTGGAGTTCTGTCGCATCACAAGGGTCGTATATCACTAACACTGGGGAGGCTATTAACTTGGCTTTAAGTGTATCAAACGTTTCCATCTCCAGCTGACCGAATCGAAATTTTTCTTCTTTTTTCAAGAGGTCGTAAAGGGGTTTGGCTATGGTCGAAAAATCTTTAATGAACCTACGAAAGTAGGAGCAGAGTCTTAAGAAACTTTGCACTTCGTGCACTTTGGTTGGTACCGTAAAATTTTCAACTGCCTTCAATCCTTTTTTGTCAGCCCGTATCCCTTCGCCCGTGATCGCGTAACCTAAATATGAAATTTATGCTGAGAAAAACTCGCACTTATCTAATCGCAACTCTAGTTTATTCTCAACCAGACACCGAAAAACTTTTCTCAAAATGTGAATATGTTCATCTACAGTCTCTGTCGCGATCATAATATCGTCCAGGTACACAATTACTTCTCCACTGCGTATCATTTCCGAGAATATCTTATTTACAAACTTTTGAAAAATAGCCGGAGCGTTTCTTAGCCCAAATGGCATTCTTAAGAACTCAAATTGCCCTAGTGGCGTTATAAACGAGGTATATTTTACTGACTTTTCTTCAACAAACACATGAAAAAATCCATTTTTCAGGTCTAACTTCGTGAACAACTTTTTGTTTACTAACCGATCCAACAAGTCATCAATCAGTGGTATAGGGTAGTTATCCTTTGCCGTGACTTTATTAAGTTTCCTGTAATCAACGCACATTCGGAGTTCGCCCGTTTTCTTTTTCACCAAAACTATAGGAGAAACGAATTCTGAACTACTAGGGCGAATATACCTTTTTTCTAAGTAGTCATCTAATATCTTTTGTAGCTCTGCCTTTTCGGTATACGAAAGTCTTCGTGAAGCGCAACTGAAAACTTTTTCGTCTTCCAAAGCTAAACTTATTTCCTGCCTGACCCTAGGCTCTTTTGGTCTTTTTGCACACAAATATTCTTCTCGGAACAACTCTTGAAAATACTTTTTGTCTTTGTAACTTATTTTGTCGCTAATCATATACTCAGTTTCGCCCATTTCAGGAATTTCTATCGCTAATATTTCGTTGATGGCTTCGTTCACTATTTTGTATGTAGAACTACCACTAACCACTTCTTCTTTATCTGTGACACTAACCTTTGGCACAACCGCTGCTTTGTATGTTGAATTTTTACTCGCCACCTTTTCTTTGTTACAAACATTAAAATTCGTTACACTGTTTACAACATCTGTGTCTGCAGTTTCATCCATAAACTCTACATCACCGATTTTAAGCTTGGCTTCGCTCGCCTGAATAAAATTTCTGCCTAAAATAACTGAATAACTAATCGATTCGTCAGGAACTACTATAAGTTCAATCAACACGTTTTTATTGAGCACTTTGACATAACAAAATATTTGTCCAAAAATTGATAGTTTTGACTTATTGAGACCATAGTATGAGTTTCTTTCATCTTGTAACTGCACTCTTCCCGGTACAAGGCTCTTCTTTACAAGACTTATTGGGCTCCCCGAATCGACTAGGCATTCTATAACCATATCAACATTAAGATTATCTACGATACTAATACTAAAATAACTTACAAAATTGCTACTGGATGTCGACTTCTTGTAGTTTTTGCAGCTCGCCGCAAAATGTCCACGTTCGCCACACGCAAAGCACGTCCCGTATTCGCGCTTAGGCTTGCTGCACTCTTTTGCGATGTGGCCGGAGCAATTGCAGTTGTAGCACCTTAGCCGCTCTTCACCACTTTGTAAATTCGTTTTTGGTGCGGCTCGTCGCGGCAACTTGACAGTCCGAAATGCTCTAGTCACCTCACCAGCACTTTTAAAATTCTGAAGCTTGGCTTGTATCTGCAATTGTTTATTAGGAATGCCGTCTACGAGGTATTCAACAAATTCTTCGTCGCATAGGTTGAGGCCAGCGCTTAACAGCCGTTTCTCGTTAGCGTAGCTACTGAACTGTTCACCAAACTTCCAAATTCGCCTTTCAAATTTTCTACGTACATTGAGCAAGTTGTCTTTCTTTGCGAATATTGCCTCCATTTCTGCGAGGATTTCGCCAACAGTGCGCATAAACATCTTGTTGGAGTTGTACCACATCAGGGCTTCGCCTTTCATTTTGAGCCGTACGACTAAACTTAACGCCTCATCGCTGACTTGTAAAACTCGCTGAAAATGGAGCAACTGAGACCGCCACATGTCAAAATCCTCGCTTCCGTCATAGTCGGCCATAAGCTCTTTCATAGTCTCCAACCCAGGCTTAGCGTTGTCTGTTGCGACCGTCAATTTCGCTCCGCCTTGTTGTAGCTCTAATTTTAGTTTAAGCAACTCTATCTCCTTTTCTAATAGACTTATTTTCGTACCATCGAATTCACGGGTGTTACTTGGGCCGCACCCTAGCTCACTTGTCACGCTAACAATTTCTTGCGAAAATTCGCGCCGCTCTACGCCACTGCCTCTATTCGCACCGTCGTTGCTATACGCACCGTCGTTGTTATGCGCACCATCGTTGTTAGACGCACCATCGTTGTTAGACGCACCATCGT